CGAGACAAGAGCATTCCCCACAGATACACCCCAGCACATATTTATAAAGCCTTATGGACAAAGAGACAGTCTTGCATCCAGCCTAGCAATTTTGCCAGTGCTTGCCCATCTTTAAAGGGCTCTTCCAACACAAACCATTCTGTCTGAATTTCCTTTTGCTGCTAAGTTTGAACTCATTACTTACTTAGAGCTCCAGTTAAACAATTTTTTTCCTGTCTCATAGGCATTCTAATTGGATGTAGAAAGCAGAAATATGACAGTCAGATTTCCTGGGAATACAGACTACTGTATATGACCAGTAATTATTTGCTTGTTGCAGTGAGTTTTTCTGTGTTGCTTCCACTGTACTTCACCTGAATAACTTCCCAAGTGATGCTGTGATTTAAAGCACCACGTGCTTTTTATTTCTGCTTAAGTGTTTGTTAGTGTATGTGAAGGCCTGATTTTGGTCCCTTTCAAGAAGGAAGGAAGCTTCTATACGACTGAGAACAGATGAGCCAAAAGGAGTATTTGTCACTTGTTTTTACGATGTTTCTCAGTGTCTCATATGAATGGAATTCATGATGATATTCACACCACTGTGTTCCAGTTTACCAGCGAAGAGGTGCTGCGTGTTAATTTATCTCATCTGGAATTACCATATAAATTACTACCATGAGTTACGTTTAGTGTAGCAAATGACACATCTTCCTAGATTCCTTTGGGTTGTAAGAAAGAGAAACAACATCCATCTGGATCCTAGAAGTGCATCCACTGATCACCAGGGATTTACTTTCTCTCTGATAGCATCACTCACCTAAAAATCAGGTCTTTAGTTTTTTGGTTTTTTTAGAACTGCTCCATTAGGTACACACACAAGCAAAAGTGGTTCAATTTGGAACTGCAAAACAGACAAAAAAAATGAATCGTGGTTTAGAAGGAAAATGAAGTTTTGACTCAGTAACTTTAGTTTTAGTGCTAGAAAAATTTCTCCATAGAAACATATAGCAGCCCATTGCCTCTTCTCCTTATGTTTTGTATCATGTATATTAACCTTCCACAACCTTCCACATGGGAAGGATGCAGTGCTGCTGAGTGTTCCATGCAGACCTTTTACCCTCCAGACAGGAAAAGCCCAGTGCTCTCAGTCTCTTCTCAAATACAAGTTTTCTAGCCTTAACAATCTTGGTGACTCTCCATACAACTGCATTCAGTTCATGAATTTCTCCCTTACTACCCAGCACAGTTTCTGTCATGACAGAAGGTCTGGAAGCACCTTGTCATCCTCTACTCTCAAAGCTGTGTGATCCAGAGCCAGAGCTCTTGTAGCCCATTTCTAAGGATTTTTGCAGTGTCCAAGAGCCCTTGTGGGTCAGCTTCCCTGTCTCGCCCTCAGAGAAGCTTGTCTGATCTTTTTCTTATTTTCTTCCTCTGGCAATCTCTATGAACAGAGGCAGCAATGACCAACAGAAGTGCCATCATTGAGTTCTTCCTCCTGGCATTTACAGACACAAGGGAGCTGCAGCTCCTCAACTTCTAGTTCTTCCTGGACATCCACCTGGCTGCCCTCCTGAGCAACAGCCTCTTTGTCGCAGCCACAGCCTGCAACCACTGCCTGCACACTCCCATGTACTTCCTCCTCATCCTCAACATGGGCTGCATCTCTGACGTTGCTCTCAAAATCATAAGCAACTCCTTTTTGGACACACAGAGAAAGATGATAGCAAATACAGTTACTTTAAACCAGTTTAAGATCACCTAAGCAAGGTAGAGGTCACAATCTGATAATAAAGAAGGAATTGCTTACCCCTTTCCAAGAACTGAGGCTCACCAAACACTCCAAAGGAGATAATCTCCTTCTCTTGCCATGGCCAACCCTTAAATAAGGTTAGGGAGGAGACAGGCTTCTCCCCTTCTTGTTACACCAGTGAATTGCTTCCACCTGTGCTCCCTGAGATGGCTATGCCCCTTCATCATGCACTCCATCACTGATTCTGCCTGTGATTTAACAGTTCCCATACAGGACAGAGGATTCCCTTCTCACCATTATGGCCTAGGACTGCTATGTTGCTATCTGCAAATCCCTGCACTACAGCACCCTCCTGGACAGCAGAGCTTGTGCTGCCATGGCAGAAGCTGCCTGGTGCTGGGTGCTTCTCAATGCCATGTTGCACATTGCTCATGTAAGTTAGTTCTCCATCTGCCAAGGCAATGCTCTGGGCCAGTTCTTCTGTGAAATCCTCCAGATCCTCAAGCTCTCCTGCACAGACGCTTTACTCAGGGAAGTGTGGCTTCTTATTTTTATTGCCTCTTCAGCATTTGGGTATTTTGTTTTCACTGTGGTGTCTTATGTGCAGATCTCAAGGATTGTGTCAAGGATGCCCTTTCAGCACGGACAGCACAAAGCCTTTTCCATGTACCTCCCTCACCTTGGCTGTTGTCTCCCTTTCTGTTATCACTGACACGATTGCTTGCCCAAAGCCCAAAGCCTCTATCTCTTCTTCCGGACCTGGTCTTGGCAGTTCTGTACTCACAGTGCCTCCAGCACTGAACCCTCTCATCTACAGCATGAGGAACCAGGAGCTCAAGGTTGTAGTGAGGAAACTACTTGGAAAGCATCAACAAGGTACTTAACAATCTTATGCAACAGGGTGTAACAGAAAATGTTAAGAACATTTTTCCTTGATTTTTGTCTATATTATTTCTCTTGTCATACAAGTGGAACACTGCAGTCGAGGGCTACGAGATTTTTATAAAAGGTGCCAGTCTGGGGGGAATTGGGACTGGCAGAAACCCCACACACTGTGGGTTCTGTCTCATCTGAGGTCACTGAGCCAATGCCTCTCCACCCACACATCTTCCCATACAGCTGTTGGTGCCAGAAGCTGAAAGAGGCCCAGGACTCAGGGCGTGCTACAGTCTGTTTGTAGGCTGGATCTTACTGGGGACAGCGTGCCCAAATTGGACCCATGGGAGCTTCTCTCATGCCACTTACATCCATGAGAGATAACATTTCCATGGCCCTTGCTAAGTAACAGGCCTCACCTTAGCATCATGGGGGTGCACCATTTCCCTCCTACAAGCTTGCACATCCCTTCTGCAGGAGCGCTGTCTCTCTCATGTCACCATCTGTCCTTGAGTCCCAAGTCACCCTGCTACGTCCCTCTTCCAATCATAGGTCCAATCTCAATCCACTCCATGATCAGTGGAAGGGAGCTGTATGGGAACTATTGAATCATGGCCTGAACCTCTGACTGATCACCTGAGGCAAGCAATGAGTCAGCCGTGGGAGCACAGGGGAAGGCAATCCATCTGTGTGACTGGAAGGAGTGGAGCCTGGCTGCATCTCTCCTAGACCCCATTTAAGGGATGACTGGCACTGAGGAAGGATCTCTCTCTGGAGACTGCTCCTCTTGGTGTTTTTTTCTGTAAGCCCGGGACACGGATAAGCTTTCCATTCATTCTGATTATCCCTTTCCAACGTGATCATCTTTCCAGTTATACACTCTTTAAAGACCAGCCTAACTTCTCTGTATGCTTGTTGATTATACATTAGTATACTCGTTGATTATACAGGAGCCCCTTCCCACCCGTGTCTCCAGCATGGCTCTTCTCTCTGTAGTGCACTGTGTTCACCCTTGGCATAACTTTATGGCAATCCCGTGTTATCTCTTACTGGCTGGGCTCTTGGTGCCTCTGTTGCCAAGAACTGGGCCACATTCATATCCAATGAATGCCAGCCCCTTGCCATAATGCTATGTCCAGCTGCAGTCCTGGCTCAGGTTGCTGTGCCTTCCAGCTTTGCTGCAGGCAAGAAATCAGAGGGCTCCAGCTGTAGGGCCCAACTCCTCAACACCCTACGCCATCTCCTGTGCTACAACCCCAACTGTGCCCAGGAGAGGCAATGGCAGTTTTCTTGTGGCACAGTGAAACCCCAGGATCTTTTACCCATCGGGACTTGACTTCCTCATCAGGCTGCAGATGCTGTCTGGGGCACAGAATGCAGATGAAACTCCTTTTCCAGCACAAAGAACTGCCTCAAAAAGGACCACAGGGCACAGGGACAATCTGCACCTACATCTCCCTCAGGTCTCAATGCTCACAGTCAAGCCAACAAACTTGCAGAACTCCTTTAGTGATGGAGAGCTGTGCCTTCTGTGAGACTGGCTCACTCACTGTTCCTGACTCACACGTGATTGACAGGGTTAATGGTGGCCCACTTGGTGTCACAGATCCTCATTCCTTGAGGTTGGGGCTGAGCAAGGAGATTATGGATGCATAATGTGTGTGGATCTTTTCTTCCTGTTAACCAGCGATAGAACGCAAAGTTGTGCTGGAGGAGTTTCAGATTAGACATTAAGAGAAGGCTCCAGGCAGACCTTGTAACAGCCTTGCACAACCTGAAGGGGTCCTGCAGGAAAGCTGGTGAGGGACCTTTCATAAGGGTGTGTAGCGACAAAGACAAGAGGAAATGGCGTTAAACTGGAAGTGGATTGATTTAGGCTAGACATTAGGAAGAAATTTGTTACCGTGAGGATGGTGAGATATTGGAACAGGTTGCCCAGAGGGGTTGTGGATGCCCCCTCCCTGGAGGTGTTCGAGGCCACACTTCATTGGATATGAATGTGGCCCAATTCTTGGCAACAGAGGCACCAAGAGCCCAGCCAGTAAGAGATAACACGGGATTGCCATAAGGTCACGCCAAGGGTGAACACCATGTTCAAGGCATCGGTCTGTGAGCAGCCCAGTCTAGTGGGAGGTGTCACTGCCTATAGCAGGTGTCCCTTCCAACCCAAACCTTTCTATGCTTCTATAATTAAGAAAAATGTTTTTACTGTAATGGTGATCACCACTGGAACATGCTTCCTAAAGAGCTGGTCGATGCCTTGTGCCTGTCAGTGGTCAAGAGGCATTTGAACAATGTCCTTAAGTAATACGCTTTATCTTTTGGTTAGCCCCAAAGTGGTCAGACACTTGCACTTGAAACAGCACATGGAGAGTTTGACTCACAGATGACATTTATTGAAGAAGAGGGTGCTGGGGGTGCCTAATTTTGTGTGCTGGGCATGCTGGCTGCTCACACGCTGGGGCTTCTGAGGGTGAACATGAGGTGGGTGCTGAGCTCTTGGTGCAGAGAATGCTGAGTCCTGGGGATGTTTGGGTTTTGGATACTGGATTGTGAGGTGCATTGGTGTGAGGTGCAGTTGCTGGGTGTGAAGAGTGTTGGAGGTGCCAAGTTCTGTGTATTGTGTGCACTGAATACAACGTGTGCTGGTAGCTGGGTGCTAGAGGTTCTTAGTTCTGAGTGCTTATACGTGCTAGGTGCTGAGGGTATCCTGGTTTTGGAAGCTGGGCATGCTTGTGTTCAGGTATTAGGGCTGCCAGGTGTGGCTGGGAGCTCGGATAGGGGTACTGTTCTTGATTTCCTGGGGATTTATGTAATTGTATCTCAGCTCAGCCTTGAAGTTTCTCTCTTCAATGCATTTGGGGACGTCTTCCAATTCTCTCTGGGAGGCCCTGATGAGCCACCGGGGTTCTGCCTCTGTGAAACGCTCCTCTGGATAATGCCCCAGGAGCCTCTGGAGGGAGAAAAGAATGGGGACTCTGTCAAGTTCAGGCACATGGCGTGGTTGCCTCAAGCCACCTGGCATCAGCAGGGCAATGGTGACCACCGTCTGGGCTGGGGTGTACCCAAGTGGTGAGGAAGGCTCACAATGTCTTCCAGGTGGGAGCTGAGGGGGATGAGAACCACCAGGATGTTGGCAGTGGTGTTGACTTCAGGGAGAGTGTCCAGGAAGTGCTGAAGCAAGGTCTTTCCCTTCTCCTCTGGTGGCGGGTGGCGCATGGAAGGTGGTGCATTGGGTAGGAAGGCATCCATGTCATACTGTGGGCAGAAAGTTTGCAGACAACAGAGGGGATGGGTAGGGCCATCCATTTGGCGTGGGGACGGGTTGGATGAGGACATTGTCCTGAAGTGAGCTGGGGACGTCTCTCCAACACAGAGGTGAAACGGTTCTCTGGCATGCAATGGGGATGTCCCAGTGGTGCATGAGAAGGATGTGCTTCCAGTGTAAGTGGGGGACAGATGGTCCCCCCAGCATGAAAAGAGGACCGTACTCTTGCACAGAAGTTTCAGATGGGGACAATTTCTTCAGTGCACGAAGGCACTGGACAAGGTTGTCCCTTCAGTGCAGACTGGGACAAACAGGGAACACTGTCATAAAGAGCAGGTAGACACAGATGTCCTCCATGGCATCGGTAGGAGACTTCCCTCCAGTGTGCAGAGGTCAGCAGGGAGTAACTGCCCAGAACGGGGCAGATGGGGATTCCTGAAGTGCACATCTGCACTTCAGTGCTTGGATAGATCTGGGCCACCTGCTGCAAAAGACGAAGAATGGTATTGTTTTGCAGGTGAGGAACATACAGCTGCAGTTCAGGTTCCTTTTCAGCTTGGTCTTTCAGCCAGTTCAGTACCTTGCTGACACGGCTACATAACTTGAGTGGGTGAAAGTCAACTTCAAGCCAGTTGTAGAGTTCTTTTACTTCTGGAACAACATATTGTACTACGTTGAACCTCACCATGTCATTAAACGTGCCCTGCCACATTCCCTGGTCCTTTCCCACCTGTCCACTGTTGACAGCTGCATGCTGTGCTGAGCAATGAACATCAGCATGGTTAAGAAACTGGTTGAGATCTGCCACCGTCTTCAGCAAGAAGGGGATGCCTGAACAGCAGGGGGCAAAGAGCCACCAGGGCCCCATCCAAGGCACCCCCACTGGCCCTGGGGACACCTAGGAGCCTCCGGGAGCCCACTGGGCTATGGAATGGTACCTGAGGATGTCTGGCCCAGAAACCATTGGTGAAGATATCCATCACCCAGGCCTGCAGCTACACATCACCTTGCACCGCTGCATTGTCTGTATTGTAGGAAGCCACCATCCTGGAGACAAACCTGTTGTAGGAAGAGGGACAGTGAGGCTGCAGGATGTCCCCAGAGCCATAAGTGATTGTTGCTGAATCCTCCAGTCCATCTCTTGATGGCCTCCCAGAGGATCATCTCATCATCCCAGTAGTGGTAGCTGAGGATGAAGGAGATGCCATGGGCTCGTATGTCTTCAGGGAGGCAGAGCGATGTGTAGGTAAACTTTTCCAAGCCCCGCTGAAGAATCAGCAGCAACGCCTCAAAGGTGTTGTGTGGCCTGTCAAGCTCATGACGCAGTTGGGCTTGTTAACTGATGTTATGGTTTAAGATTTTTGGTTATTGGTATTCCAGATCGTAACGTCATGAGTGCTTCCTTCTCCCACATGAACAAATGAGGTATTTTTTGCTTTCCCTCGATGAGACAAACTTTCTGAGATGTTTACTTGAGGGCATTTAGGGGCTTAAAAATCAGGTTTTCCCAGAGATCCTCCAAGCTTTCTGCTTTCACAGGAGTAGTGTTAAACACTGTATTCTTCTGATGCCTGAGAAAAAAAAGCACACACAAATACATTCTTATCCACGTATTTGAGTAACTGAACACAACACACTTAGATATTGTGGGAATGGAATGTTGTTTCTGCATTAGATATTAAAAAGGGCAATTGGTTTGAAGAAGTAGAACATAATTTATTTGTATTCTGTACCTTATCCGTAGAAATAGTTCATCTAAGAAGTAGAAATACTGTCTATGTTAGCAGCATGTTTTAGAAACATTATTACTGAATTATGTGATTCATTCTTTCTTGCAAGACTGTAATAGTTGTTAAATGTTCCAAACAATGTGAGTATAGGGTTAGGGATTAGGAAACATATTGTAGAGCTGCTCTGTTAGGATAAGAAACTCCCAGCAAAAGAAAAACAGAGTTAGCAAACATCAGAGAAGTTGGGGCCTCTCCACAAGGCTGGACTGTCTCACTCCACGAGAAGATTGTTACGTGACAGACAGGCATCAAGATACTCCCCCCTGTCCTTCCGAGCTTATCTTTGTGGAAGGGAGGACAAGCAGATATCCACAGAACAACGATCAAGTGTGAAACAAGTTAGTTAATTAATTACAGATTTACATACAGCCAGCGAGGAACTAGGGGAGAAAGAGATAAGCATCAGGCAATAGGGAATAAAAGATGTACGCTGTTTTCTGGGTGCTCTCCTGCTTGCAGGAGGCCCGCCATTGCAACTGCGAATAAAATCTGCTTTATCAGAGATACCGTCCTCATAAATTATTTTGAGTATTTCCAACAGTATGAATAACCACCTGAGATTAAGAGTTAAGACTCTCACAGGCACTTTCCCTGTTCAAGCAAGCAATATCTTAAAAAACACTATGTGCAACAGCTGCAAACAGGTATATATTTCCTTTCTTAGAGCTTGTCAAAGCTAAACGTGAGAAAGGAGACAAGGCAAACATAGCTTAATGACAAGAAATGCTGTTAACCTACTCAAAAGGACAAACACGTTTCACCTGCAGCCCAAGTTTCCGCAGCCTGGAAATAAATCCCTGAGTTCTGTGTTAATATGTAGCTGGTTGGGAAAAACTCTTCAACTTTCGCATATTCTGATATATTGATTTTGAATGATCACTAAAATTTGTACAACAAATGCTTTTAGAGTGCTCACGACCATGCCTTTGGGCTAATAGGAAATTAATGGTTGTACAACTTTATGAAGTTGCATGTCAGATGGAATCAATATGAGCGGGCAAATGTGCTAGACCATCACTAGGGGCACCATTACCTATCGACCCTAGAGAAACAACAAGCTGTGGAAAAGGAGGCAGAAAGAACATGCTGGCGGTGGATGCGATAGGCATTGCCAGCAGGGCGTCCCCTGCTTCAAAGTGCACTTTTCCTCTCTCACCCATCACAGATTCTCTCTTGCTTATTATAATAATTCTTCTTGGGATCCAAAGGGTGTTTTCCATTTGCACACCGCACTGCCCAAGTGGAACACCTGCCTGCAGAACAGAATAAACTGTCAAGATTAGCTCTCTTGGAGTGCACCTTTGTCTCAGTGATGCATGGTCACAAATCTGTTCTGGTAGAGTGTATCCCTTATCACTTGTAAGTGTATTTTATCACTTGCTCTAGATAATAGATAGCAGTGTAGCAGTGGCACTGTAACCTTATCACAGCTTCCACAACTGTGACCTCACTCCAGTGTGTCTATCACTCCTTGAGTGTTGCTATGTGCCTCAGTATCGTTAGCCAAATGAAAAAATTGAGACACTTCACATGCTACCTGACATCTCACAAAGTCAGACTACACAAGGCTCTGTCTTCTGCTTATTTCCTTAGATTTCAAGTGTCTCCCTGTAACAGTACAACCTTTTAAGCACACATCAACACTGTATTTACAGAAAATCATATTGCCTTCATAGCAAGGATCTGTTGGACTCAATCTTCATGGTTTTGTTTCTGAAAGAGCATATCAAATAATGTTTAACATAAAAGTTCATACGAATATTCCAGTTATTGAGAATAGTCACTTTTTCCCCCCACTTAAATATGGTCAATGCATGCATTCATTGCAGTGCTGAAGCTGATGAAAGAACATTTTGAACAGTAACTCCTAAAATTCCACTCACCAGTGACAAGACACATTTTGACATAGGTTTCGTAGTCTCATGTATGTAAATGAAATCCACAGCTTTGGTTACAGAACTTAAACTTTTAAAAGCCAGAATTATCATAATATTATCAAATCTCCTCAGCTGTTTTGCATGAAGATATAAAGCCTGGTATTTATTTTTCTTAATACTGAAACTGTCCTATAAAATTCACCAAATGCTTTCTTCCACCGTTATTAATCCCAAATCTAAATAAATGAATAGCTGTTCATATCAGACTGCAAAAGGCTGTTTGATATGCCAGACATGTGAAGGATGCTAAGAGAACTTGTGCAGTATGTGTCTTAGAGCTGAGTTATGTGTTCTGCTAGTTACACGGAAGAACGTGAGAGGTTTGCCTGGGGCTGAACACCATGGGTTGGAGAACTGACTCTCCATCAGGATGCAGAGCAGATTATTCACAAATTCACTCTCAGTTTCAATTTCTAATTACATTAGAATTTAAGAAGATGACATAGCTGTAGATTCTTTGGGATACAGCGATGCCGTCCCACAACATTCACACCACAGTGCCAACCACATCTGCTCCACTGTGGAGAAGCTCTGTTCAGTTGCACAGCTTGGGTAAGGGTACGACCTATTCTTGAAGCACAAACTTCAGCATTTTACAGAAAAGAAATCTGCAAGGATTCCGCCCTTGCATTTTTGAAGTTCCCCAGACAGAAGCTTCTAGATGACTGAAGGTTTGAATGGACAAAGCATGCACTGTTCACGAGTGCAATCCTTCCATTCCTGGGCTGGAATACCAATGTGGCTATGAGACAAAGTCAAGCAGTGCAATAGCAAATGAGGCAATATGCTGAGCCTGCACTGGTGCACACTGACCTGCAGTGGAACACGTTGCACTCTGTGAGTAACTATCCATGCACAGGGACTGGAAAAAGAGGAGGAGCCAGAATTACTTTGAGGAAGCATGAGGGAGCAAAGACTATTAGCAATGTGCTAGAAATATGCTAGAAGGTTCTGTCTGCTCTGCCCTGTTGGGAGTGAGCAGAAGTAACTAACTGAACATTGCAACACAAACCCAAATACATTAACTGAACTGAACTGAACTGAACTGAACTGAACTGAAAGTGGGTTTAGGTAAATTCACAACATGATTGAAGAGCTGGTCTCACAAGTTTACACAGCTGTGGAGGACCCGAGCTCAAGCCAAATAAGCAGCGGCGATTTCCAGCTGAAGCACAGGATGGTGGTAACTTAAACTTGCAGGGACAAGTTTCACGGCTCTTATTCTTGGAGTAAGCAGCCAGGAGTGGCACCTGCTTAACAGGACCGTAGTAGCAGATTAAAAAAAAAAAGAAAAAAAAGAAAAAGAAAAAAAACAGGAGGCAACAGTGAGAACTCTGAGTGGATTTACCAAGGATTTACTAATATTGACCATTTATTTTGACTTATTTAGAAAACAGCCACGTACCAGTTCTATCACCACTTACACTTAGTGTAAGGCCTGTGTTCAACAGCAGGGGAATGAACATCCCACAGACTCCTCTCTTTCGGCACTGGGAAATAATCAATGGTCATATATTGCCTCAGTGGGAAGAATTTAACGCCCAAGATCATCAGTTGATGGCTGAAGGATTAGGTACACTTCAGACAAACATCTCTATGGCTTTGAGTGGCATACAGGCTCAATTATGGATACAGAGAATGGTGTCTGCATTGATGAGGGAAGGAGAAGCAGGTACTTTATCCACGGAGATTCAAAAGATCATTTGGAACAATGCTAATGACTTTAAAAGAAGGTTCCAGTCTTGGTGGAATTTGGTTAATTTTGCCTATGACCCAATACAAGATTCAGTCACAGCATTTGTGATGACCATAGCCCAAGCATCAGTATACACTATATATCCCATAATTGCCCTTGGTATACAGCACAATGAGTTTGTTCTGTACCCTACTGAATGCTGAGAATGGGCCTATCGTGAAGCTAAGAAATGGCAGACAGTTGATGTCAGCACCTGTACAGCAAGAACTCAGCAAGGCTTTATTTGTGAAAGCAACACCAATATGAACTTTTGGAAACACTGCCCTCCTACCTCCATAAAAAAAACCAAAACCAACCTACAAACAAACAGCTTGGTAACAGACCTCATATGGAAATGTATCATAGCCACAGCATCAGGGAGATTGTGAGTCTGAGACGCTCAACCAACGAGCGAGCACCAGGAGAGCATGACCTGCGTTGGGTCTGGGCTATGCAACAGAATGCATTTCGCTGACCGGTGCACAATTCCTCGTTTGCCGATAGGGGGCGTGCGCCCGCCACTGCAATAATGAATAAACTTGCCTGCTATCACTAGGATTTCTCCCTCATCTGGAATTTCTGACTTGCAGCCTTTCTCACAGATGTGGGATTGGGATGTGGGGTGTGGGGATATCGAAATGGAATGTATACGGGATGGGATTTTAGGAAATGGGATATGTATGGGATGGGCTGTGGATATGGGATGGACTTAGAATGGTTATGGGGTCATAGAATCATAGAGTTGCTCAGGTTGGAAAAGATGTTCAAGATCATAAAATCCAACCGCAACCCAGCTATTCTACCTTACCTCTAACAGCCCTCTGCTACACCATGTCCCTGAGCACCACATCCAGACGGTTTTTAAACACATTCAGGGATGGTGATTCAACCACATCCCTGGGGAGCCTATTCCAGTGCTTAACAACCCTTTCTGTAAAGAAGTTCTTCCTGATATCCAACCTATATCTGCCCTGGCATAACTTGAGGCCATTTCTCCTCATCCTGTCAGCTGCCACCAGTAAGAAGAGACCAACTCTGCTCTGCTGTGATCACCTTCCAGGTACTGGAAGACAGCAGTAAGGTCTCCCCTCAGCCTCCTGCAGGCTAAA